TCCTCCTCCTCCTCCTCCTCCTCCTCCTCCTCCTCCTCTTTCACGCGCAGCCGATCCTGCCCATGCCCACGTTTTTTGTCTGTCGGCAGCGAACCCGACCCAGACATGATCGCGTCGTACAAAACATCAGGACGGGAGGCTTTGGGCCAAGTTCTGCCTCGGGGGGCCTTCGCCGGGCCTCGGGGCCGTCGGGAAACGGCTCGGGACGAAACACCGGTCCCGGGGAAAGGGTCGGGACTTCAGGGACCCCGCATTCATAAAATAAGGACGTCGCATGTTTGGGTACCCAGACCCCCGACGTCATGATTTTTTCATTACGTCGACCCCTTGAGGTCTCGACCCATTTCCCTGGACTGGCTTTTCATCCTGAGTCGTTGTTTGACGGTCCCGAGGCCCGGCGAGGGTCCCCCGAGGCCGAAAATAGCGAAAAACCTACCGTCATGATTGTTTCACTGCCCGAGGGGGTCTCGGTATTTATAAGATCAGGACGTCGCATGTCTGGGTAGACGGCTTCTCAGGAGGCCCGAGGGCTGCTGAGAAGCCCCCCGTCGCCTTCCGAGAAGGCCTGCCCTGCTTCTCGCTTGAATTTGCCCTGGGCGTGCCGCCGGGCTGCGGGGGCAAGCCCACGCACGCAGGCCGCCTTGAGGGAGGAGGGAGGAGGGATGAGGGAGAGGGGAGAGGACAAGCTAGGTGCGCTCGCGTCATATCTGACATTCTACCCCTCCCTCCCATCCCTTACCATGGCGCAGATCCCCTCTCTACTCGCACAGTCGGATGTCGAGCAGGGCAATGATCCCGAAAGGGTACGCGATGCATTGTAGAGCACGGCATGGCATGGCGTAGAAGAGCACCGCAAAGCGTAGTATCAACCTAGCATTGCATTGCATGCCGTGGCATGGCACGGGAAATGACGCCAGCGCTGCAGCGGGAGCACGAGTCGAAACGAGCGGAAGCGCGGAAATGAGGCCAGCGCTGCAGCGGGAGCACGATTCGGAACGAGCGGAAGCACGGAAATGAGGCCAGCTCTGCAGCGGGAGCACGATTCGGAACGAGCGGGGCCCGAAAATGAGGCCGGCGCCTCAGCGAGAGCAGAGTTTTGAAAAACATGCAGGCGAAAACCCAACTCCACGGCAGGCTGTGTGTAAAAAACACTTCAAGCCGTCATCAGGAGAAGAGGGAGAGTAGTATTCATATTGAGTAATTGTGGAGGAGGAGGAGGAGGAGAAGGAGGAGGAGGATGAGGGTGAGGGTGAGGATGGGGATGAGGATGGGGATGATGATGATGATGATGATGCTGATGATGATGATGATGAATGATGATGATGATGATGATGATGATGATGATGATGATAATGAGTGAGGAGGAGGAGGAGAAGGAGGAGGAGGAGAGAGGAGGAGGAAGGGGGGGATGAGGAGGGGAGGAGGAGGAGGAGGAGAGAGGAGGAGGAACGGAAGGATGATGACGAGGAGGAGGAGGAGGCGGAGGAGGGAGGAGGGAGAGGGAGAGGATGAGCATGAGGAGGAGAGGAAGGAAGGGGATGAGGATGGGGATGAGGAGGAGGAGGAGAAGGAGGAGAGAAGCAGGCAGGAGGAGGGAGGAGGAGGAGAGGAGGAGGAGGAGGAGGAGGAGGAGGAGGAGGAGGAGGAGGAGGAGGAGGAGGAGGAGGAGGACCGACCCCTGCTCCCCAGGCCTCTCCCGGGGGTGGGGGCGGCCCGGCCGTGGCGCCGAGGGCCTCACGTCAAGGGACCCCCAACCAAAGGCGCCGACACGAGGCGAGGGCGGCGGTAGACGGGCCCAGACCTGCGACGTCCCGATGACAAAGACATAGACCTCCTCCTCCTCCTCTCCTCCTCCTCCTTCTCCTCCTTCTTCTCCTCCTCCTTCTCCTCCTCCTCATCATCGGAATCATCTTCATCCTCATCCTCATCCCATCCATCCTCATCCCCATCCTCATCCTCATCCTTATCCTCCTCATCCTCATCCCTCTCCCTCCTCCCTCCTCCCTCCTCCCTCTTCTCCCCTCCCTCTGCAGGATCCTGCAGGATCTCGCAGGATCCTGCAGGGCCTGGCTGAGACCTGAGTTTGCACTGCCCCGGGTCCCCAGACCCCCGACGTCATGATCTTTTCATTGCGTCGACACCCGAGGTCTGGGCCCATTTCCCGGGACCGGTTGTTCGTCCTGTGAGTCGTTTTTTGGCGGTCCCGGGGCCGGTAAGGGCCAGCAGAGGCCGAAAATGCGGAAACACCTCCCGTCGTGATTTTTGTCATTGCCCGAGGGGATCTGGGTCAGTGAGTCCCCACAGCGGCGTCAGCACCCTTCTCGGTGTCCTCAGAAGGTTGATTGGCCTGGGTGTGCACTGACCCGGGTCAGTGATCCTCCTCCTCCTCCTCCTCCTCCTCCTCCTCCTCCTCCTCCTCCCCTTTTCCTCCTCCTCCTCCTCCTCCTCCTCCTCCTCCTCCTCCTCCTCCTCCTCCTCCTCCTCCTCTTCCGTAGCCATTTTGGCTCAAGGCTAATGCTTTTGCGGGCTGGGCCCGTATTGGCTTCCACGGAGACCGCTAGTCCGCGGCAGTGCCAGAGCGCTTGCGCTCGACAGCTTACCGCCTACACCGAGGGGTTGGGCTCCCTCATCAGTTTTGTCGCCACGGCCAGGCTGCCTGGCTACGGTACGGCCATCACTGCTCTTGTCTCTCGTACTGTGCGGGCATCATGGCGCCGCCGAAAGGTGCTGCGGCAAGAGACAGGGCAGCACGGGCCAAGAGATGGGTGTGCAGGCACTCCACACATGAGAAAACTGGCGTGCCTTGGCACAATCATGCAGATGCTGTTTCTTGCTTCTTGTGTGGTGGGGCCAAAGGACGTGTCTACAAGTGCGATCTACCTTCTCCGACGCCCAGTGTTCGTGCACCTGCTGCTGGGGGCAATGCACGGGCGGCGCTGGATGCTAAGGATAAGGAGTTGGCGGCCCTTCGGAAGCAGGTGCAGCAGCTGTCTCGGACCAGGCCGACTGAAAACGTGCAGCAATCGCCTCCGCAGTCTGATGCCGCCACCACTAAGGACGACGCCCAGAGTAAGCAGCAGGAGCTGGAGGCGCTGGAGCAGGTTGTGGCGTCCCTCGAGCTGGCCGCTAAAGTCAAAGGCGTTGCCCCGCAGACTGTCGTCGGCTATGAGGAAGCTCAAACATCTTTACGAAAGTTGCGGCAGGAGATCCACGATGCCAAGCCGTTGGGTGCGCAGGTGCATGGCATTGGCAATAAGATTCAGAAGGCTGATCAGCAGATTGCGAAGCTCAAGGCCACCATCGAGTCGGAAGAGCAGGCCATTGCTGAAAAGCAAGCTTTGTTGGTGGATCTCAAGCAGCAGTTGGAGACCAAAGAAAAGGCTCGGGTGCAGATGCAGAGGGAGCAGATGGAGTTGCTGCGTACTCGTACACCTGAGCAGGTCACTCATTCTCCTGAAGGCAGCGACCAGGCGGTCTTTGACACCTTCACGGCCAGTCTGGAGCAGCTGCAGAGCCTGGTTCAGTCCCTCGGTGGCGGTGCGCAGTTGGCTGCCAGCTGCGCCCAGTTCGCGGAGCCCTGGCTTGAGCAAGTTCGGAAGCAGCGAACCGAACAGCAAGAGCAGCTTCGCGCGCAACAGCAGCAGCCGCAACAGCAGCAGCGACCTCCTGAGCCGCCGCAGCAGCAAGCTGAGCAGCCTGTTCGGCCCGAGTACTTTGACATGCCTGTACCTGAAGATATGGACCTGGAAGATCTTCGGACATTTGTTGCTGATGCTGGGATGGAAGCCAGCGCTGATGAGACGGAGCTGCGTGCCCAGGCCAAGCGCCAGCTGGACTCGTGCCAGAAGCTGCTGGCCAAGAAGCCCAAGGTCGCTGCTTAGGCCTGTGCTCCTGATTGCTACTATCGGCGCAATGGCGGCAGATTCCCATACCTTCGATTTCGGCGACGACTTCGAGCAGTTGTGTGCCGACCCTGGCTTCGACCAGGAGGAGTTCTTCGGGCTCCACGAGCAGGATACCAGAGCGTTTGGAGGTCCTGCTGATGCAGATGATGGTAGCGAGCGCCTACGTGCTTTACCTGGTGCGCTGCCAGATGCTTTTGCTCCTGTGCATGTTGATGACGGAGGGCATCAGGCGTTAGATCGCAAATCCTGGGTTGCCTGCGGCAGGTCAGGTTCGCAGTCGCGCCTGCGTCCACCACCCCCCAGGGCACCCCTTCCACAGGAGGCGGGGGACTCAGCGAGTGGGGGTGGGGGCGCAGGGTTTTGCTGGACTCCTCTTTCTCATGGCGAGGTCGCAGTCGGTGGCACGACGTGGGGCAGCAGTCCAGGACACCTCCATCCAGCTCGGATGCCTGCACCTCCTGACCCAGTGCAGGACTACCAGGACATGCGCCAGAACTTACGCGACTGGGCGGCCCTCTGGTTCGACAGCCACGCACAGATTCCACGGGATGGACGTCCGTGGGTTGAGTGGTGTACTGCCTTTTTATCCGCCTTGGTCGGCCGTGATGCCAATATTCCTTTACGTCAGTTGCTCTTGACTTGGTTTCCTGGAAGGAGCCTTCAAGATATTTTTGATGAATTATGTTCTTCGGCATGGCGGCAATCTGAGGGACGTCGAGAGGCCTGGTTCATGCGCCTCGCTGGTCGTGAGCCTGGCGCCGCTCAAAGGCTTGAGCACAGACATTGGAGGGCTCTCGACGAGGTCCGAGCGATGTTCAGACGAGTGCTGGGCGACCAGGCCCCAGATGGCAGGAATTCACCACCTCCTCGGCGACCTAATTCAGATGATGACCAAGCGGGCGACCCTTTGGAGTCGGTCATCGCGCAGCTGGTGGTGCTTTCCTTCA